TACACATTCAGTAGAATGCTATTTCATAATGGAGGCTGGAAAACAGACACAAAAACAAAAGTACACTCAACTAAGACTCAGGGAGACCTGGGATCTACTTCCACCTCTGACACTAAATTTAGGGAAGTCCTCTCTTCTCTTTTGCTCCCTCTCTTATCATGTGATATGCTCCTCCTTTACCTTCCACTATAACTGGAAGCTTCTTGAGGCCCCTACCAGAAGCAGATGCTGGTGTCATGCTGCTTATACAGCCTATAGATCCTGGAGCCAACAGATCCTCTTTTCTTTGTAAATTACCCAGTCTTATGTATTCCTTTATAGCAACACAAATGAGACTAACACAGGCTCCTTATTGTATGTAACATGCACACACTTTATAATATATAATACTGTTGTGACCTATTATAGTTGCCTGGTTGCTATGGGAATATGCTGAGGTGATACAGGTTAAATACTAAAGAATAAAGCTCAGTTTTAAACTAAATGTTCTTTTATTGTTTCAATAATTATATTAAAAATGTTTCTCCAGTTTTGTTATACTTTTTTTCCAAGGGAAAACCATGCTGAGTTCTGGATAATCAGAAGAGTTGAAAAGAGAAGGTCATTTTATTCACGGTATATTTAACTGCCTCTCCCCTGGACTCCTGTCATAGGCTCCTAATGGGTTTCCCTGATTCTGCTCTGACCCCCAATTCTCAGTACAATAGCTGGGGTAGTCTTAAAAAAAACACAAACTAGCTCCCATGCTGCCTTGTTCAAAATCTTCTAGAGCTTTCTATCTCACTCAGATCCATGGTGAAGGACTCAGAGTACCCCTCAGGCCCTATGTGATCTGTGACTTCATTTTCAGCCCTCTACTCCTTCCCATTCAGGGCACTGGTGCTTGCTTTTCTCTCTGGCTAAAGAGTTCTTCCCTCAAATATCTTATTGACTCTGTCTCTCATTTTCTTTAGTCAAGTGTCTTTTTTTCAGGGAGGCCTTCCTTGATCACCCTATTTAAACTGTAAATCACCCACTTTCCCACCCTATTTAAACTGTAAATTCCTGAGCCAGTTTCTTGCTCTATTTTACTCCATAGTACTCATCACCACCCAATGTACAATATATTTCACTTACTATCATTTGTGTTTTGTTCAGTGCAACATCTCCAGTCCATAGACATACAAGTAGTTCTCAGGAAATACTGCTGAAATAATAAGTGAATTCAACTTATTTCATAGAAATTAACTATCAGAGTAAGTTATTTAAAAAAATAACTACTAGGAAATTAGGTTAGGTTAAGTTAAAACCAAGAGATTTTTGCATGACCTAGATCATAGCCATAAAGTAATCTACTTGAAAACCCAAACTGGTTTTTCTTACACACACACACACACACACACACACACACACACACACACATAAATTTATACATATACCTATAACAGAAATTGATCTTTGAAAAAATTGTGGTCAGGCACAGTGGCCTGTAGTTCTAGCACTTTGGGAAGCCAAGGTGAGAGAATTGCTTGACATCAAGAGTTCAAGACTAGTCTGGCGAAAATAACAAGACTCTGTCTGTATTTTTTTAAAATCGTAACTCCACTATTATAAAAACACCATGGACTTTTCTCAAGGCAAAACAGGCAAGTCAAGGAAGACATGAGAGACAAAGGCAAGAATTATTTTCAAAACTGCTTAAAAATTAGAAAGGATCATTTTCCAAATCCCAAAGAAGCAAAAGTTTTGCATAGACAAAGGGACAATTGCTCTTAAATATAAAGAACTCAGCTGGGCACCGTAGCTTATGCCTGTAATCCCAGCATTTTGGGAGGTGGAGGTGGGAGGATTGCTTGAGCCCAGGAGTTCGAGACCACCCCTGACAACATAGCAAGACCCCCATCTACAAAAGATTTAAAAAAAAGTTAGCCATGCATAGTGGTATGCACCTATAGTTCCAGCTACCTGAGAGGCTGAGCAGGGAGGATCACTTGAACCTGGAAGGTTGAGGCTGCAGTGAGCCGTAATCATACCACTGCACTCCCACCTGGGCAACATCACTAAAAATAAAATAAAATATAAAGAACCTCTAGAAATAGATTTTTTAAAAAAGACACACAACTCAATTAAAAATTGGCCAAAAGATATAAAGAATTCAGATTAAAGAAAAGGCAAATGATTCTGAAACATATCAAAAGATGCTCAACCTCATCATAGTAAGAGGCATGCAAATTAAAATTTTATTGGAATTCCTTTCGTCATCTAACTGACTGGCAAAATCCAAAAGTTTGGTCACACAGCATAGAGAGGAGAAGCAGCTGTGGGAAGAAGTATTCTCCTGTAATGCTGGCAACAGAGACAACAGATACCACCCTTTTGGAAAACAGTTTGACAAAAGTGGTCAAAATTATAATTGTCTATACTTATTGGCTCTTTACTCTTATTTCTCCTAATTTCTTTTTCAAATATACTTGCCTATATGCAATGTATATGTGTATGTATAGGCACAAGGTTACTCAATGCTTAATATTTATAATAGCAAAGCAATGGAAACAACAATCCAACTATCCCTGATTAGGGAATGGGTTAAATCCATACACCAGAAAACAGTGCAGCTCTATGAGACAAGAGGGAAGCTACATTGGCCTCCTCCCCGCAGTGACATGAGAAGATTGAGATGCATTAATGAGAAAAACAAGATGTCGAATTGTATTTAATATGAGAAAAGTAAAAACTAATATTAATTTTTACATTAACATAAAGGAAACAAACATAAGAAACTAATACGCTGGGGGCCTGCGGTGGGGTCAGTGGCTCTGAGGAAGTTGGGAAAGGGGAGGAGGCTCTGTACTATGCTCCTTTTTCATAGCGCTTGACTTTTTGATTGCTTAAATTTATTATTAGAAAATTAAACAAACTTTGTCCTTATGTCTAGATGATCTTTTCCAGACTCTTCAGGGCACTCTTTGGGGTAGATCAAGGAGCTGGAGAGTAGAGTTGGGACAGGCAGACTCTAGCACTGACATTTTCCTCATTTGGGATTATATATTTTCTTCCCCAGGACAATGAGGTCTGTGAGGTCAGGGACTGGGGCTCCCCTGGATGATCTGGTAAGTGCTGCTTGTAAGGACTCAGAGATTTGCTTCCTTTGACTCAGTCTATTGTTTTGTCTTCTTTTGACTCCTCTCAAGCAAACTCAGGAAACACTTATCATATTTACGTGCTATGGTTCACAGCCCTGAGCTCTGCTTGGAATAAGCTTCTTGCTCATCAGCGCTCATACCTTACACTCTCTCCATATGTTATTCTTCTGTCTCCCCATTACCTTCTAGGTATTATGCATCTGTTGTGGGGCTTACACATAATGCTAATAACTTAACATAAACATTCTAGTTTATATATGCCCTCCAGAGGAGTCACATACATAATGTCTGTTTTAACATTTAATATACTCCAGTGCAACAAACATTTATTGAACGCCAAATATGTTCAATGAACAGTCCCTGGTGTCATGAAGTTCACAATACATTAGTTTAATGTACACCTATCCTAGTACCTTCCAAAATACAACTAATAAATGGTTTTGTATGTTGTCGATGAAGATAAATTCTACTACCACCAAAACACATAAATTACTCCACATTTTCTAGTGCAGAAACAAGGCATGCCAAATGATTTCATCTTAATTGTTCCTTTCCGCATCTAACTCTATTCATTTCACATCTTTTCAAATTCTCTTGTTTTATTTGCCTGGGACTTAAAATTTCAGGTCCTAACATGGGGAAGTTAACCTTCTTTAAGAGCCCACAATTGGATCATTCACAAAGAACTGTGTTTTTCATTTAGACTCCATTAGGAACACTTGGATCAGTTAGAGGACACCTCTTGCTTACTTAAAAAAGGAAGTCAATCCATTTAAAATTGTTAGGTTTCTATAGTCTTTCAGAATATAGAAGTCATTTAGAATTTCCAATAAAAGAACAAGGAATCTTTAGGGCAGCTGAAGAAGATAAAAGAATTCTCAGCACACTGTACACTTTCAGAAGAAAAATATTAAGAGTAAAAATAGTTTCCCAACTCAGTCATTCTTTGGAACTGATAATTTATTCCTGATGGCTCCCCAAAAGAGGGGAAGAGAAGCAAAAGAATATTCTTGGCTTCTCTAACAGATATTATTCATAGCTCTTTTACCTCCTAGTATAATAGACTATTAGAGCTTCTATAAAATCCCTTTCAGTAATTTTATGGTGGGTCTGCATTTTGTAAACCATGTTTTATAACTGAGAAAAGAAAAAAACAACCACCAACAAGATAATCATTTTACAATAATTCATTCCACTGATTTTATTGAATTTTCAATTCCGAACCTTTCCCCTCTCTTATAAAAATTAGACTATGTTTGAGATTTGCCTGTTAAATTAATGATTAAAACAAAGTTTCACACCTGCCACCTACTGGCGAAAAAAAGTACAACTTATTTTAAAAGTTCACATTTCTTTCAGATTTTTCAGTTTGTAGGTTTAAATATTTTACATTAAAACATATTGAATGCTGTACAATAGGACACTGAGAACATCTTACATGTTTAAACTCAAATTATAGACCATATATTTATGAGTTTTATGAAAAAATAAAAATATGATGTTTCCTTTTTACAATTCAATACTTTTCCTGGTTACTTACTACAAAAAGTGACACAGATGGATTGGAGTACCCCAATTTAAATTTTGTTTTAACAGACATGGATGCTAGTCTAACTGATGATGAAATTAATGGTTACTGCAAGATCAAGCAGTCAAATCAAACAAGGTACATATGGGGAAAATTATCAGGGATGTCATTAACTCTGTCTTCACAGACGAATAATTTGTGAAAACAAAAAGACAATTCCATTAACAAAGTACACAATGGCAAAAGTAACCAGAAGTTTTCAATGTGGTAAATTGCGTGAGAGGGAACATTTATATACTCACTTTTTGCATATAGGAAGCACCTAGTCGTCTGTAATTAATGAAACATACCTGGCTTAAAATGTGGTAAAGAATGAACTCCAGGCCATGTGTCCTCATTTGGCGTTCCAAGAACCTAGTGGAGAGCAGGAAATTGTGGAAACAGCCTTATTATTTCCAAAGCACTCAAAATTCTCAAGTGTAGAAAAGTAGTACACTACATATTATGAAACTCTGGTATTTTTTTTTCCATTATCATGTGCCAGGGATTTTATTTCAGTAAAAACAAATCTGGCTGAAGAGCCACCCAAGATGAATCTGTGTTATAACAAATACAGCTGAATGTGGTAAGACAAGTTAAATCTGCTATATTTTATCAAGTCCAAACTTAATAAATAGGCTAAGGAATCAAACAATAAGCTGTCATCTTCATGCTGCTGAATTAAGTTTGTATATGTCCCTCATGATTCTTTCATGAGCTTTTGTCTTTCACTCCAGTATCACATGTTTCATCATTTAACAGTTCCAACAATTCTGCCATTTCTACCCCACATCCTCTGTCTGAGCATCATAATGTTTCAAAGAGGCAGGTCGACAGCTTAGAATGCTCAAATTCTCTCATTACCGTTAAAATCTGTAATTATGTGATTTACAGTTTCCTCTTGCCAAAATACTGTTCTTCCTACATGTTTTCCTTTTTCTATCTGTACATCCGTCTTCTTACCCCACCTACTTTTCTATCACTACAATCTTTGACCTGGAGAAATGGGCAATTCCAGCTCACATGTAACTGGACACACTCCATTTAAATATTCTGTTCCCTGATCTATAGCTCTTATACTCAATGATCATGGCAAATCGCTGATTGAGAATGGAGTTTCAGGGTTAAAAGTCTAGAAGGGGAAATTCAGGGTTAAAAGGCCAGACTCTGAAGACACCTTGAGTTCAAATCTTCGCTCTCCTATTTACTAGCCATGTAAGCTTGGGTAGAGAAATAGCCCCACTGAGTTTCAATTTCTTCATTTGTAAACTGGAGGGTGTTAATTCTACCTACCTCAATTGTGTGGAGAATGCTACCTGGCACACAGAACTATGTCAGTATTAGATTATTATTCAAAGAACCCACAGAAAACTGATTCGGGTCAGATAGGGAGGCTCCAGCCATGTGGGGAATATTTAGACTGCCCACTTTTTCCATAGGGACTCTATGTTCAAGCAAGTCAGTGCCAGATGCTGTCATTCAGACTATATTGGATAAACATGGATAGACAAACAGGTTAGAAAGGGCAAGAGATAAAGCTGGAAACTGGCAGAGGTGAAGGACCACTAGAGATTATGAGAGGTGTAAACCAAGAATAAAATTATAAGCCCCTCAACCATCTGAATAGATCCCTCCTCTCAGCCAAAGACATTCCAAAGTCAACGTGAAAAACTAGTTCAGGCCATGATGGGAAAGGCAGCCAGATATGCCTCATTATACCCACCTCCTTTTTGGAATTCAGGGACAGCTGACCAGCGTAACATCAACACAGACCTTAAGACTGATAGAACAGACTCCGTAAGTCTGATAAAAAACATTTACAATCTATTCTCTCTGAAGCCTGCTACCTGGAGGTTTCATCTGCATGATAAAGCCGTGGTCTCTATTCTTTTGGTACCCTACACATTCCTATTGATTCCAGGTCTTTAGATAATAACTCTTTGAATCAATTGTCAATCAGAAAATCCTGGAATCCACCTATGACCTGGAAGCTGCCACTTCCGGTTGTCCTGCCTTTCTGGACTAAACCAATATACATCTTACATGTATTGACTAATGTCTTATGTCTCATTAAAATGTATATAACCCAACTGCAGCCTGACAACCTTGGGCACATGTTCTCAAGATCTCCTGAGGGCTGTGTCATGGGCCATTGGTCACTCATATTTGGCTCAGAATAAATCTCTTGAGTTTGACTCTTCATCAACAGAGGAAATGAAGCATATTCACTTTATCCGAGGATTTGCAGGTACTACTAGACAATAAGGTAATACAAGGCTCGGAATGTTCATGTATCTATTTACTAGTGGGTGACATGGCAGTGACATCAAAGAGTGGCAAATATATAATAAGTGCCAAACTCACTGCTTCCTACTCTGGTGAATACATGTATTTATGTTCCTGGCTGAAACATGAATCCAGCATCAGCAAATGAGAAAATAAAAATTCTTCCTTAAAGACTCATACTTGGTTACTTTTTTAAGCACTAATGAATACTAACATCAATAGATAAATCTACACCAACTAGATCACTTTATTGATGGGCTGGATGACTGGGGGAAGAAGGCAGGCAACCTCTTGCCCGGGCTGGAAGAGTTGTAAGATGAGAAAAGAGACAAAAGCATTGTCTCCAACATAAACGATTATGGTAACAGTGTCTCTGCAAAAGGCATTTCTCCCTTTCTTTTCAATAATCCCAACCATTATTTCAAGAGGACAATCAAGTTTGTAGGCAGCACATACAGCTAAGCTGGAAATGCTCCACTTTGTTCTCACTAAAATTTGCATGAAGGACAAAGGAGTTCAACAGTACTAAATTTTAGCAACAAAAGGGAGAAAATGTCAGCTCACAATCACAACTTGAACACAGCCAATCTGTCACATACGAAAATAGAGCCTCTGAAAGTTTTATAAACAATGGAAGTCCAGCCAGAATCTGAGCCCTGTTCTCTTGCTCCTAATAAAGTACAATTGTTTTCCTGGCTGCCTCTGTTTCTACAATGCTTGCGTTAGCAAAACTTTTTCGCAGGCATTATCCTCATCCATATCCAGTATTCTGTTTCAAAGCGGTTATGAAATATTATAGTCATATCATAAAAGTTACCAGGAAAAAGAAAAATATATTAGACTTTTTTTCTTTTCAGTTATAGGCTTGACTATTGAGATTCCAGACCCCAAACTGTCCTGCTTACAATCCTGAACCATTTACACAGGAAATGCAAAGTGGGTAGAAAGTGGGCAAAGGAAAAGAGTAATTAAAATTTAATTTTGCTTTCTGTAAAAGCCATTTTGGAAAAAATAGCTTGGTTTTAATGTATGGTTGAAAATAATTGGCTACATGTGCACTGAAGAGAGTATGTGTTTGTGGTCTCTGATGCCAGATTTTCATTTGTATTAATTCACTAACAAATTCCATTACCAAGATACATTTAAGTTAGAAGAAAGAGTATTTTCTAAAAGTCAAAAATAATCTTTTGCAAATAAAACAAAAATAAAAAGAAAATTGCATCTGATGTGCTACCAACATTTAAAATGTGGTTCCCAGCTCTGTAAATAAGCAGGTTTGTGACACCTGAAGCCCCTTTCCATCTATGATACATTGAAAAGTCTTCTACATGTCCATTTAAGTAGACTGACCCTAAACCGGTGCCCATGGCTTGTCCATCTCCTCATTCCTTTGTTGTTTTAGCTCTTTATTTGGTTAACACTTATTGCATTCCTCACAAAAGATGTAAGGATGGGACCTGGATTCTGCCTTGAGGTGCTCCTGGTCTGGTGATGCAGATAAACAGGGGCGGTGATGAATGGTCTTCAATGTCACAAAGTTAATAGTGTGGGAGAGTGAGGTCAGAGCCCAAAGGAGGGTGGCTTGAGTCTCCCTGGGGGCAGGGAGAAAGGCTGCCTGGAGAGGGTGGCTTAGTGGGAGAGGGAACACTGAGTCACTGGTTGCCAAGAAAAGAAAAGGTGGGAGTGACAGTAGAGTATCCAGTTATAAGGAGAGGCTTATGTCACAACACTTTCAACCCTCCAAACTAACATGCTGCTCAACCCCCATGTCTTCTTACAGTGGATTCCTCTTCCCTAACACCCTGCCCTGATTTAACCAGCTGAACTCCTACCTCCATTTGTAGCTTCAGTTCATGGTTCACTTCTTCCTGAAAGACCCTCTGGATTCTCTGGTCCAAGTTATATGCTGCCTCTCTGTGATGTCTGAGTGCTTTATGCAAGTTCCTATTATAGAACCTAATCACTACCTGGTAATTGCTAGATTACTCATCTGTCTCCCCACTGGACTGTGGTCCTCACAGTGGAGATGATTATGTTGATCTCTGGATACTTAGTGTACCACATGCCTGGCACCAGATATGCGCCCAGTACATGTCAACTGACTGACTGACTGAATGAATTAATGAATGAATGGTGTGTCTGGATAACACTGTGGCTACACTGCAGATGGGGCTACACGATGGGAAGCAGAGGCCACATACTAAATCCAAGGAGACTGCACTTTATCTGTTTGAGGTTTACTCAAATTTCAGGTCACATCACTGGTTGGGGGTTTGTACGTAAAATTCATCAAGGGAGTTGACATCAGCACTTTTCAAAAGATGAAATTCAAGAGAAGATATCAGAGGGCAACATAAATGTAAAGATACCTATTGTTTTATGAAACTTTAGTTCAAGTTACATCTTTGTGTGTGTGCACAATAAATCATGAATGTAAAATGTATATGCTGCTGTTTAAAATCCAATTATACAGGGAAGAAGTTATTAGCTGAAATCAAGAATGCCAGAGAAAAAGCAAGTTCGGGGTTTGAAATGAGTTTCATTCTGGATCTATTAAATGTTAGAAATGCCTGCAGGTAAAGACTGGGCAGCTGGAAATACAAGTCTGGATTTTGGGAGAGGAATTTCAGAGGGAGAAAAACATTTGGAACTCTTCAGCACACATATGGTAACAGAAAGCAAATGCCAAAATGCAAGCCACAAAGTGGTCTCACCTCCCTCTGTTCAGAAATACACAGTTGCCAGAAGTCTTCTCTGTGATTTCTTAGACTATTTAACATCTGTTAAAAAAGAGCAAAACAAGGGACAAGCTCTCCTTATCAGTGGAGGTCTACGGCCCTGACCCTAAGGAACTAAGAGGTAATGGCCCCACACTCACTCCAGGCGTGCCTCTGCCCTGGCAGGTGCGGCCCACGTTCTGCCCATTATGTCAGCCTCTCTTGAGCAGAGAAGATACTGAAAAAAAAGAGAGCCACTCTATGAAAATATCTTCTCCAAATAACAGGAGAAAAGCAAATTCTGAACTTCTAGAGCTCAGAGTTCAAGGATTAATGTTTGTCAGAAATATTTACTTACCTTTCTAAACTATC